GTCAAGTCATGACATGGTTTTTTGGTGGTCAGCTTTGGAAAAGCTGCTATTTCTTTTTTTGTTCTTTTCTTGTTCTTCAACTTTTGTTGTTGTCATTGGAAGATATGGGAGATTTTCTTTCTTCACTACAATTAAGTCATGATATGGTTATTCACTTTTTCTTGGCTGTCAGCATTTAAAAAGTTTTTGTAATTCCACTCCTCTTCTTGTTCTTCAACTTCTGTTGTTCCCATGGGAGAGATTTTCTTTCTGGCATCAGCTTTTCTAGCTTTCAGTTCCAGGGGTGCAATTTTGTTATTTTGTCTCTACCATTGTGGTTTAAACTTCAAGTCAGTGGCCTATTTATTGCTAAATAGGAGATATTCAAGTAGAACAGGACTGATTACAATTCCTTCTCCTCTCCTAAGTCCAGTTCTGTAGCTTGACAACCTTAATTTACTATTTATTTGCTTTCTTAATCTTGTTATAATGATCTAACATTTTCTATTACATTAGGCATCAGATTCAACAAAAGAAACTCAGCATGAGCTCTCTGCCCTAGAGTTTATGTTTCCCTACATCTCTTTGCTATATGCTTTGTAAGTTTTGACAATATTTTTTTGCCTTAAGTTTTTAGAGATACTAATTGTAAGGTGCTAGTGAAACTGCAGGTATATTGAGTTTTATGATGTGATGTCTGTGCCGATGGCAATAGCTCTGTCTGGTCAACTTCTTCTTGGGCAACCTGTAATGGTTAAACCTTCTGAGGCAGAAAAGAATCTTGTTCAGTCTAATGCCTCTGGTGCAGGCTCTGGTGGTGTTGCTGGACCATATGGAGCAGTGGACAGAAAATTGTATGTTGGGAATTTACATTTCAATATGACGGAACTGCAGCTCAGACAGGTAAGAGTAGAAAGAACATGCTTGTAACAAAGAGAGAGAGAGAGGGAGAGGAAAGACTGTGATTTTAGTAAATTATAAGTGACTGCACGAATTTAATTTTTTATTAGGGCTAAAAAATCATTTTATTATGAAATGGGATTTTTACTGTGGATGGGCTTTCATTAGAGGAAAAAATTGTGCTGGTGAAGGCAAATCCGTAGGAAAGTGTGATTTATGGTTACAAAGCATCCATTTTCTTGAAGAATGTGTGTATCATCACAAATATATTTTCCAAGACATGCAGTAAGACATGACTGTGATCCTTGAATTGGGAGTGTTTCTTGATTAGTCACTTCATCCACATTGTAGATCATGATACTAAATTAGCAGCTTGATGTGGTTTTCTTCTTCTTCTTCTTCTTCTTCTTCTTCTTTTTCTAACTTTCTCTTCATTCTTTGCTCAGTTTTACTCTTATTCTTTTTAAGTTACATGGAACTAAGTTTTTTCTGCTTTTTTATGCCAATGACTCAGATTTTTGAACCTTTTGGTCCTGTGGAGCTCGTGCAACTACCTCTTGACATTGAGACTGGCCAATGCAAGGGTTTTGGGTTTGTTCAGGTATGCTAAAACTTTATGTTGACTTTCAATGGTGTTTACCTAGTCATCTAATTGGTGTGTGTTCTTAACTCATGGTTGTTGTTTTACAGTTTGCTCAGCTTGAGCATGCAAAGTTAGCTCAAAGTGCTTTGAATGGAAAGCTGGAGATCGCTGGTCGAACCATTAAGGTAGGCTGTCAATCTTATGCCTATGTGGCATAGTGAGATAATAGTAATTTAATTTTTCCCAGCTATTTTGTTTGTTTTGTTTTGTGACTGTTGCTATGTGTATTATCATGATTTGTAATCTTAAATCAATATGGCTAAATATGTCTGTGAATACAGGTTTCGTCAGTCACAGATCATGTTGGTACACAAGATACTACAGCAAAATCTGCTGACTTTGATGATGATGAAGGTGGTGGCTTGGTGAGTTGAATATTATCATGATTTTTAAGATTAATGCTACTTTTTGTGGTTTTGTGTCTGGTCTCTTACATTTTGATGATAATTATTTTTCTTCCTGCAGTTTCTTCAAAGATGCAATTAGTTTTCATGATTATCTTGTATAAATAGTTAGCATAACCTTGCATTGCTGGGACCAGGAGTATTGCCAAATAGAGCTAAGTGAAGAAAAGCTAATGTGAAGAAGCCCAAAACAACTCAAATGCAAATTCATATACATAAAACTCAATTCTCAAAATAATCTAAAAAAAATTGCTCACTTGTAATTATCTGTTGTAGAAATTTAAAACATTTTTAGGATTAACATCAAAAGATTAAAGAATTTCAAGAGCAAAAAATGAAAGAAATAAAATGTGTGAATAGAGAATCTTCCGACCACAAATCAGTCAGAATTTGATAAAAGCAGTTTATTTTTGGATGTCCAAATTGCTTTCTAAT